TTCCTTTGAACTTGCTTCCTTTTATATTAAACTAAACGATTACAAACCCTGACTATTACTAAATTATAATATCGCTACACAATCTACATGATAATAGTAGTATTAATAATAACAAACAAATAGTTTGGGATTATTACATCCCTCTCTCTGCAAGATAAAAATTTATACAAAGATTCTTTTCTTTATACATTTTATAAACTATTCTAAAAAATGTTAACACAACAAAATATTTCAAGATATAAACTGACCTTTTATTTGATTACCAATTTTCCTATTGGGTTTTTTATTGCAACACAAATTATTACTACAATTTTAAAATTCAATTTTACTGCGAATAGAACTTATATTACCGAAAATATTTTTAATTCGCCCCAATTGTCTCATTCTACAAAACGTATAGCATCATATGCTTTTCCTGACAAGGCAGCCTTAAAATAATAGGTTGCAGATTTTCCTCAATATTCGTTACACAATCTACAACAATATAATAGTATTAATAATAACAAACAAATGGTTTGGGATTATTACATCCCTCCCTCAACGAGATGCAAATGTACACAAAGGTTCCTTTGCTTTATAAATTTTATAAACTATTCTAAAAAATGTATATAATATAAACAAATACATTTTTTTTCCTCTCTCTCTAAACGCATTTTGGCATGTGTTGACGAATTGGCATCTGGACAAGTAGGAATTGGCCTGCTAATATTGTCCGTAGTCCCTGCGCCACGCTGTTCGCATACCGACGCCGTGGAATAACCGTGATCAAAGTCATCCGTCCATTGACATCCCATAGACACTGCTATTTTAGATCACTGCAATCCAACACATAGAACGCCTGCAGGGCCAAGACATAATTAATTATCGGCTGCACTTGGCGGTGTTCAGTGCGTTGTTGTTCGTCGATTTGTTCCCTCAACTGATTTACTGATTTCCGGAAAATATTCGAATTGATTTGTATATTTGTGACCGGCTTTGCATCTACTACCGGAATATTACATTTTCATTGGTAAATAAATTTCCTCTTTTTTTCGGTCACACGCGATTACAAGTGGCTCTTCGGTCGTTGCACACGACCATTGGTTTTTCAATTGTAATTTGTCGAACAGGGTTGTTTCCAATTGCAAGTACATCGTCTCACAATTTTCCGGTAAGATTTTTGAACTCTGAAACATCTGAACTTCACACGGTTCTTTACTTTTACGTGGGCGGATCGACTCGGTTTGTGGACATAAAACGAATGTTTTTGATTTCTTACATATTAATATACCAACATCATTAAAAATACTACAATAATATTCACGGGTTTTACTAATTACTACACGATTTGCAATTAGGATGTATATGAACAAAAAAATCAGTAATAGCTTTTATAATGTTAGTTCTTGTTCATACGTCAATGGCAATTGAACAAAAAAAAAAAAAACAATTCCACCATCAGCGCGATATATCGTGATATCTTTAATAATTCATACAGACATTTGTCGGGACATGGTTGATGATAGTTGGATAATCCGTTTAGTCCTTAAAGTTTAAAGCTAACGTTTAAGTTAAAAAGTAAAATTAAATTTTAAAATTGTAGTAATAATTTGTGTTGCAATAAAAAACCCAATAGGAAAATTGGTAATCAAATAAAAGGTCAGTTTATATCTTGAAATATTTTGTTGTGTTAACATTTTTTAGAATAGTTTATAAAATGTATAAAGAAAAGAATCTTTGTATACATTTTTATCTTGCAGAGAGAGGGATGTAATAATCCCAAACTATTTGTCTGTTATTATTAATACTACTATTATCATGTAGATTGTGTAGCGATATTATAATTTAGTAATAGTCAGGGTTTGTAATCGTTTAGTTTAATATAAAAGGAAGCAAGTTCAAAGGGAGGGTTATGTCTGGTTATATATTGAGGAAAATCTGCAACCTATTATTTTAAGGCTACCTTGTCAGGAAAAGCACATGATGCTATACGTTTTATCGAATGTGACAAATATTGGAGTCAATTAAAAATATTTTCGGTAATATAAATTCTATTCCCAGTCTACAAATGCAATTAAGTTATCTAAAACAAATGCCAAAAGAAGAAGTATTTAGTTTTGGGAATCGTATATTAAATATTCAAAATAAAATTAACTGGGACATTAAATATGGGTAAAAAGTATACAGAAAGCAAAATTATTGCAGAAACTGTAGCTAAACAAGCACTTGCTATTTTAATAAATCGGCTTCATGATTCACTAGGCGTAATACTAAGGGCAAGAAACATTAGAGCATTTGAGGAGGGAATTTCTCTGGCTTCTGAACAACTTTAGGGTATGCCTTTTTAAAATTAGATTTTAATGGAGGGGGGGGGGGGTTATGTGTGAAAGACAAGTTTGATGTAGCAGAACCGTGGTTCCCAATACCAAGTGGGGGACTATTAGGACGATTTTTCTTGAACAAAAAATAGCAATCGTCGATGTAAATAATTAAGTATCTACTAATATTTCCGGAAGAAAACCAATTAAATAAATCAGTAATTATACCGGCAAGAAGTAATTGTCTAGTAAATATTAAAGTAAATAAATCTTTTAGGGAAAATGACCAACAGGAATGCTGGTTATTGAATAAACAGGAATTAACAGAGGATGTTATCATAGGTAATTGTATTAGTAAAATAAATGGAGACAAAATAATTGGGAATATAATTAACATTCATCTTGAAGGGGCGAAAGAAGGTCCGAATTCACATAAACAATGTCAAACAATTTTTTTGAATACAATTTTGTAAATGAAACGTTAACTTTTCTTTATAAAATTTTTTTAAATTATAATATTAGCAGTAGAATAACAGTATTATTGATTATTGTTTCAGGTCAAAACTACAATTGATAATAGCAGATTTTGAGGTTACCAATGTCAACGGAAAAGATATTTTATTAGTATCTGGAGCTTTATCAAATAGCCTAGACAAATTCAAGGTGGTCAAATTAGTAGGAAGGCCGTTAATATTGGCAAAGGAGAAAAACTAAGGGTATTTCAAAGGGCAAACCTACCAAAAGTAAAGGGTAGTATAAGAAGAATTTTTCGGGATGAACCGGAAAAACGGATACCACTTTTAAACGAACTAAGAGAAAGTGTTTACAATAAGGGAATCAACACCTTATCGACGGTGTTTATCCAAGGATATTTGCATAAGGACAATAGATCACCTGTATTGGTTTTCTGGAATGGTAATAAAGATCAAACTATAATGGAAAGGATAAGATTGCCCAATTTTTAAAACTTGTGCTTAACCGCGTACGACGAGGAGAACAACGGGATATTCTACTTAAAACTAGCCAATCTATCTAAGGAAAACAAAGTGGTATTAATCAGTATACCAATGAGAAAATATGAGAACAACGGGAGATTGTTAAATTTAGTAGAAGCTCATGGCATAATGTGTAAAGATAATCACGGAGACCGGGACCATCACAACCCAATGGGGTACGTTCTCTTAATAAAATGTGTATTCCATAAAATTATAAAAAAATACCAAGTCACGGAAATCATACGAATCATGTTTAATATTAAATAAATAATAGACCTTACTTTTGTTACAGACTGCTAATAACAGTGTCAATCAGCATCAAACTGAGCCATTGCAAACAATTTAACGACATACAAATCAACGAGAATGTATTTTGAAAACCAAGGACAAATTAAAATCAACACGGTGGAATGGACAATAGCTACCTTGACCTAAACCATTTCGCATCAAAACAAATATTGTTAAATGAACATTTAAATCAATCTCGGGAACTTTGTATAAGTAGCTCAGACGCAGAACCGATTTCAACATCAAACTCAAACATAACTTTAAAAACTGGTAATCAGACTTCTTGTTGGGAATTATGGAAAGACTGGTATGAATTAGGCCAACAAATAACTTCATACACGGGAGAGGTGATATCAACAGACTTTGTGAGGGAGAAAAGGGATTTGTCTTCTTCCGTTTTAGAAAAACATAATATTTGGAAAATTAAATAATAATATAGCTTCAAAGTATAATAAATTGATTGATCAAATTGATAAACTTGAGTTGAATCAAAATGAAAATGGAAAAAGAACAAATAAAAATAATTAAAAAACAAAATTAAATATATATCCAAATTTTAGCTTATATTCTAATAATACCGTAATGATGTTATTAATTCATAATTACAAAAAACAATTTTGAAATAAAAAGATCCCGGGCATAAAGATGGGCAAAGATTTACGAAGAACAATTGTTTTTACATTTAGATAATATGTCACAACAAAATATTTTAGAATTATTTACCTTATCAGATACAATTAATTATGCAAAGATAGGATTAATTCAGCTATTGTCACCTAAAGAAATATTAGAACGGATTTACCAATTGAATTAGGTTTAACAAACAAATAGTTTGAGATTATTAAAATAGGTATAATATTATAATAACTTATAATATTATCTTCGTTGCTAAAAATGCCCACTTTTGTGAAAAATATAAAACGGTTAACAAAAAGGATGGTAAATTTAATAATTTTTTTTTTTTTTTGACAATTTATTGAAAATAATAATTCATTATCCGTAAATGAAAAGTAGTTTAATCGAAGAATGCGAGATTTGGGTATCACAATAAGTTTCATTTCTATGTATTTAGAAATGTATTAATGATTAGTAAATATAAGTTCTCAAACATTGTGAAATCCATTATTGTTTAACAGGTTTTTTATTGATTATTTTTTAACTGGCTCATTATTGTTCATACATATGTATTTCGGGGGTAGTAGAATAATATGTATTAAATAATCTTTTATTTGTTAAATAACATATTTTACTTGTTACACTGTGGTGTTTTTTTTTTTAAAATATACCTTACTACTTATAATTTTATTGGTTTATTAATTTAGGGTAATTATTATCAAAACCGTATATTATAACCGGTGTTTTTGTAAATGTTTCCCAATTTACAATATGAAGCATATTCAGACAATTTTTTCGAGGTTCCAAAAAAAGATTTGAATTAAAAACCTATTCATATGGAAATGGTTTTTGCGTTTTCTGCTATTGTTTTTTGTAATTGTTCTTTGTTGTACAAATGTTACAAATACGAAAATATTTCACTAAAACAATTGATTTTTTATTCCATATAATTGTCGATATACTACTTTATGTTTTTATAACATAATGCATTATGTTTTCAAGGTGACACTAAAAATAAATAAATTAATTCCACTATATTTTAAGATAAAAGTTTAATTAATTAATTCGTCAATTGTCAGCACTTATTATCTAAATAAATAAATTTACAAATTATTTTTTTTCTCTTGAATTACTAGCATAGTGAGGTCAAAGCATACATATTAGGGCGGGGTAGATTACACGTTTTCCAAAAATATTATAACTGAATGTTAAATCACTAACAAATAAACTTTAAGTGACACCATGTTTTTTTTAATTTTGTACATATTTTACACTACATTTACAAGCAAGCTTACAAATTGTATAAAGCGTCATCAGTTTAATTAGATTGGTTCTAAGGTATTAGACGCATAATGATCTTAAATTTGATCCTTTACAAAGTAATAGCAAACGATTAGATTGATAGAAATTCAAAAGTAAAAAAAAAGTTTTTTAGGGGAGGTGTACAGACGCTGTATTTTATTTATTATAGGTTTTGTTGATTACTTTATAGCTGTACCATTAATTTTCAAAATTTTCAGGCTTATAGAATAAAATGTATTAAATACTTTCTTATTGAACAAATAACTATTTTATTTGTAACTTTTTGGTTTTAACTTTTTTACTATGTACCTTACAACTTATAATTTTATTGGTTCATTAGTTTTAGGTGTTGTACTATTTGGGTGTTTATTAGCAAGACCGTATATTACAACTGGTGTTTTTGTAAATTTTTCCCAATTTGCAATATGAAGTATAAAAAGATATTTTTTCGATGCTGAGATTTGAATTGAAACCCGATTCCTATAGAAATGGTTTTTATGTTGCCCTTGAAAATTATTTTTCACCTACTTTTAGTATTCAAGACTAAACAATTCCACTATTTTTCAAAATAAATATGCTTAAGTTAAAATTAATTCAATATAAAATATTAGGTATATTAAATATATATAAACACATATGAGATCGGTCTTTTGCACTTAATTAGCAAAATAAATGTATCAAATATATATATTATTTTTATATAAAATACTAGCATAATGAGGTTGGAGCGTATTAGGGTGGGGAGAGATCACACGTTTTCCAAAAATATTATAACTGAATGTAAAGTCACTATCAAATGAAATTCAAGTAACATCATGTTTTTTTTTACTCTTATATTTTATACCTACAATACACTACAATTACATCTTAACTAAACAAACTTATAAGTTTTTATTTTTCAACTATACAATTTTTATAAAGATTATTTAAATTGATTTTCTAGTATTTAATACACAACGACATGCGTTTTTGGCCAGATCCGACAATTGTCTTAAACCTCAATAGGTATCACCAAATCACTATTTCCCATTTATTAACATTTGTTCTTAAATTTCAACCTTTGCAAACTTATAGCAAACAATCAAATATAATGAAAATTTAAAAGCAAAGTTTATTTTTATTTTTTAACTTTGATGCGGAGTTGTGAAGCTATTGGTTTTACTTTGATGTGAGCTCTTTTGTAGTGTGTCTACACACTGTTATCTTTTTAATACTGAACCAATTTCTTCGAGTAGCAACTCTATAAATCACAAATTTTATCGAATTAACGGTAAGTACCTTTGAGAATTAGTAAAAAAGTTTAAAAACGTCTTTCTTGCTCACCCAATATTGGGAAAACCAACAAAAAACTATAAGAGTGTTCAACTTTTAACTGTGATTTTAATACGTTCAGTTACGATAATTCCTGCTTCATGCTTGACCGAACAGGATATAATTATTTAGGGATATGTTTTATATATTAATACTGCTACATGCTCAAGTAGATAACTGATATTTTGTCCACCCATTTAGAATGCATAATGTAGCCCAGATATTCATAGTCTCGATATTTGACGGCATGGGAGTTTATTAAATAAATAAAATGCTGACGCAACTTTTGACATATTTTCTGTAAAAAAAAAAAAAAACGATAAAACACAGCTTTGGTTTAAAGACATCGATATGTTTGTATAGTTTATACACAACAACAAGTAGAACTACTTGTTCAAACATTTTGTGTTATGAAAAAAATACACATTTAATGTATACAACTTAAGTACACATAGGAGGGGCTTCAGATCCCATGGCCCACTGTTTATGCCTACTGGTAAGTAATACATACTGGTATTCGTATCATTTTAGTTTTTTTTTCAATTCTATAGAAAACGGGTATTTTTCTGCAAATGCCTTTGTTGTCAAAGCGTTTACTTTAATAAAAAACAAAACAGGCATCCAGAAACGTTGAAAATCTTTAAAAGTTTAACGTAACCAGAAAAATACAATGTTTTTAAAGTTCTTTTCTTTGTTGGTTTTTATTATCGTAGCTGCTAGCTGTAATTCAACGAAACAATATGAAACTACAGATTCAGCTGCACCTGCACATATATCAGCTGAAGCCGAGGTAATTTATACAATTTTTTTTTAAAACTATTAGATTTATATTGTGCTGAATCTTTTATAATATAAAAGTTTAAGTTTTCCTATAAATCCATCTATGAAACAATTATTTTTTTTTTTTTGCTTAAAGGCTTACAGTTAAAACCTTGGTCATAAATATACACACAACAAAAATACTTTTTTAATATTGTTATGTTAGATTAAAATCAGTACAGTAACCTAATCGTTTGAGTTGAATTCATTCAATATAATAAATGTTTCATTTAACATTTTTGTTTAGCCCAAAATATTCGGGCAGGACCAACTCGAGAAATCTGATGCTGAACTGGAACATGAAAAAAAGGTAATTTATACTATTATTATCACTCTTTGATTTAATAATTAACCCTGCATCAGTCGCTCGTTCTATTACTGTGGTACACCGATAATAAATTTAATTTTAAATGGTTTTGGATTTTCTTCGTCCCAATGATATTTGTATTACCTTTAAATGACATTGTATAGTTGATATCTGTTATGATTTTGGACTTTATTTGTTAGTGTAATTCTGTATATTGAGCGATAAAGTTGTAAATTATGCTTTGACTTGGGTACATAGTTTTCATAAATTGTACGTTTATGGATGTATTTTAAAATTTATATATTGATGTTATACATTATATTATAACTATATAGATACATAATAAATATATATTACATATAAATGTATATACAGGGTGATCAATGTATCACTCAATATCTCATTGGGTTTAATAAGAAATTAAAACTTTTTTTCCCATATTGTTTTTATAAATTGTGATCTCAACTGTGAAACATTTTTTATTAAACCCAATGATATATTGAGTGGTTTACGATAAGTGGATCACCTTGTATACGTCTATATACATTTAAATATATATTTTAATAATATTGTTTTATTTATTCTCCGTTAAATTGTTACGGTTCCTTTTTGTAAGTATTAAATTAATTAATATTGTACATACATGATACAAAATATACAATAATTATGTGAATTGAACAATGTGGTCAAATCGTTAATTTATGTTGCAATAATACATTTTAATTAGCAAAATTGTAATTGTTCTACACGTGTAGACGCGCGACTACTCGCCTGCTATTTAAACCACGTGACTGATGCAGGGTTAATTATTGTTATCCATAATTTTGAATGTAATAAATGTCGCATTCTAAATAAAATTAAAATAAAAAAATTAAGCATAAAAGTATTTGTTAATTATACCGTATATGTCTATGCGTATTATGATTTTATATTCGGATTTTTTATGAAATTAACATTTGTATCGATAAAAAATGTTCAGATTATAGAAGATTCGTATAACGATTGTTTAAATTGGGCGAGCCAGGGTCTAGCAGAAATTCGTGACTATATTACCTTGAAAATATTATTCCTATACATGGGTGGTCTAGTAGAAGATCTTGTGGATATCGAAGAACGTGTCGAGAGTTATACAAAAGCAGCGGAAATGAAAGGTAAACATTAACAATATTATATATAATATACATATAATTACTTAATATTTTATTTTACCTTGATGTGAAACTGTAAAGAAGTTAGTTTTAAGGAAGTATTCTTATTCGCCTCTATATA